AGGGATATCTAAAGAGGCTTAATATAGAAGAATGTGAGAAAATAAATGTTTAACAATATGTACAGCATTTTGTATATATCTTTTTGATTTAACATGATTCAAATAAGAAAAGAAAAAAACATTTCTAGAGTCCTGAGAATTAACCTAACCTTGTTCGCATTGCTAGAGCACATATAACAAAATAGGTTGATCAAATGTTAGAACCTGACCTGCGGCAGAGTTGGATTGGCCATTGGGATAATGTGTTTCTCTCTTTCAGATAAAATGATGACGTCATCGATTGCCCATTGGTCGTACCCTTCCCCAGAATGAAGAGGCTGCCACCAGCGAAAACGGGTGGAGGGTGTTTTAGAAGCAAGGGGAAGTTCATAATGCACAAATCTGCAAAATGATTAAGAGGACAATTATTTTGGAACATCTAACACTAAACAGCTGAGTAAAATTTCTCTGGTTATTTCTGTCTCACCGAGGTTTGGTGAAGTCTGTGAAGTACATCTCAGCGATGAGGCCCCAGGTGATTCCTCCATCGTTGCTGTACTGCAGCAGGACTCCTTCCTCCCTGCTGTCTGCCTGGTTGCACTCTGCCCAGTCTCCTCCAACCCGTAGGTAGAACTGAACAAACTCTGCCCATTCTGTGTCCAAATCCCAGCTCACCAGCTGCCTCAGCCCAGCCTGACAATAACATGCAAATAGTCAGATTTATTCAGGTAACCTCACATAAACTTGTGAGTTTAAAATAGAAATCCGGACATGACAATCATCACAATTAATGGTAAGGAATTCTTCTCAGAGGGAAATGAGATAAATGTCCTGAAGCCATTTGTTAAGAGACTACGTGTTTTTGTAGGTGTTGGAACCAACAGCCAAATGGTTGAGATGTTTAAGAAGAGCTCAGAAACCATTATGGCTTAAGTCAATCATGAACCTGAAGATGTTGAAACAGTTGCTTACCTGACCATAGTAAGTTAAGTTTAACAGATCAGACTGAGGACAAGTGGTTAATCCAGGTCCAGAGGATTAAAAAAAACTGCTTAGTTTTCCTTTATTAGGTGCATTTCAACAGGTGATTAGTCCATGTTTATGTTGTGGATCTGGAAATGCAAATGCTTAGAACTAATTGGGCTTTTACTCTGTAGACCTGGATTGTCCACCTCTGCTGCTGACCGAGAAAAATACTCGATTGGATTAGTATGTGTGCTTCTTTGAACATTAGATAGAAAAAAAAGCCAAAAGTGAATTTAAGATCCTGTATTATGGAATTCAACAAAGATCTGGAAGATTATAGTAATGTGAATAAAGAAGAATGGGATGCAGATCTTTTAGTTATCAGGTTCCTCTCCTGTGGAACCAACTACCAGTTTTA